AAAAAAATTTAATTATTTTGTTTAATTAGTAAATTTTGTTTATTAAGCTAATATATATTTTTATCATAAATTAAAGTAAAAAATAAAAATATAATAATCACTTAATGTTATTAAAAACAAAAAATGAAGTCAAAACTAATAAGTACTAATTAAAAATCGTAACAAAAAATTAAAAAATTAAAAAAGATAAATTTGTTAATAAGATTAAGGATTGATTTAGTATAATTGTTTAGGGATATAGTGGTTAACGATTTTTTTCAAATCGTTAAGAATAGGTATTTGATAAACTTATTTATTTTAAAATTGCTATAAACTAAGTACTTGGTAAAATGTTTTATTTAGTGGTTTGGAACTAGTAAATAGCTGTTAGGATTCAAATCAATAGTGGATTGAAAAAAACTACCTAAGATAACTTTTTATACTAAACTACTAGTGTATTGAAATTTTTTAATTTTATTGATAAATGTATCCATTTTAATTTTTCAAATTTTGACCACAATTTTAATTAGTATTTATGTAATTAATTAACTTTATTTTTTGTCTTTAATAACATTTAGTGATTATTATATTTTTACTTTTATATTAATTTATTATAAAAAATATATTAACTTAATAAATAAAATTTGTCAATTAGAAGAAAAGATTAAATTTTTTTTAAACTTTATTTTAAAATAATATATATTTTTTATTAAAAGTAGAAATTAGTGTGTCATTATGTTATTATAATTTATTTTATTTATTTATTTATTTTATTATTATTTTTTATAAAATTAATAATTTTAATAATAAAAGACATAAAAAGAAAAAAGTACACTTAATTGTTTTAAACATTTTTTATTAGTCATTTAATGTTGAATAACAATTGTTAATTATTATATAATTAAACAATTATATTAATTGAATCTGCTATTTACTATTTGCTAACTGCTTTTCGTTATTTACCACCCACTATTCACTAATTTCCATTCACTACTTGCTATTACTATCTGTTATTCACTAAATTTTAATTGCTATATCAAATAAGCTCTAAAAAATTCCGATCCATTGATGATTCAGTACAAAGAGCTATATAACCTAACTTTTTCAATTTACTAGCGGTTTGGACTATAATCATTATTTATTAATCTCGAACCTTCAAATAAAAATTTTTAACAAACACGTTATTTATGACAATTTTAAAATATACAAATTTATCATATATTTATTTTTAACAAGTTAAACAAAATCACTCGTCACTACCCTAAACCACTTTACCAAACAGGGTTAAATAAAATACCCTAACCCTGGACCCATTACTTTTAGGTTAAACCTCAAATTTAGTCTTTTCAACTATTGCATAGATCTTCAAGTGAGTCCCTTAACTTACAAAAATTCTTAATTTAGTCTATAAAGTCTTCAAAATTGACTCCAAATTAGTCCCTCCTTTAAACTTTGGTTGACCTAGCATGTCAACTAATGACAAAAGTATATCTTTTCAATAAATAAAATATATGTAATTTACAATGTGGCAAAATACATGGCAAAAAAATTGTCTAAGTAATCCCTAAATTGTAGGAGGAACACACCATGCCATGCAATGACTACACAAGGAACCTAGATCCCATAAACCTACCTTCTCAATAGTATAGCAATAAAAGCATACCCACTCCTCAAAGAAAC